CTCACAGGAGGCCGCACATCTGCGTATGGCCAGTAGGCTGTGGGGCCGGCATGCGTGCCCACAGACTGTTTCGTTAGGCATGTTGGGGTGCCATCTGTTCTTGCCAAGGGGAATACTGTCTCATCCACGTCTCTCAATCTACAGCTCTCCTGGGCGGCAGTGGCCCATTTCGAACAGCCTCCAGCCCTCCTCACAGGTCCCCGCTGCGCTCCGTTCTCCTGCCAGGCATGGCAGGCCCTTAGCAGGCGCTCTGAGTATCTGGCTGATCGCTGCCATGTGTGGGAGAGGGGCTTCGGTGCTGGTGGTCGGCCCATGGCTTCTAAAGGGGTGTGCCCAGTAGTACCAGCGGGAGTCCAACCCCGAGTCATTGACTGTGGTAGAGATGTCTGTGACTCAGGTCCCTGATTCCAGTTGAGCTGGATGAGCGCCCATCTCCTCCTACAAGATGTCACCCGTGTTGTACAATATCTCAGCGCTCATTGTGAACGGCTCGTTCACTTGCGGAGTTTTCTCTTCTCTCTGGAGATGGGGGCAGTAGGTGACAAGAATGTACATCTGGGCGCTAGGGTCAGCATGTCTCAGGTCCAAATCCCACCTCTGCTTGTTACCAGCCGTGGGACCTTGGGCGAGTCACTTAAGCTGTACTCACAGATGCAATGTGACAAACCAGAAGATGTGGTCCGCAGGCTTGGTACAGCGTAGACAGTCCCTACAGTCATGGGTGTGGTCTAACGTGCCCCCTGCCGCAGCAAGGACTCTGCATGGCACAGTTCCCAAAGGCTTTGCTCCCACCGCGCCAGGAAGTACTCAGAGGTGCACCTGCCAGGAGCAAACCCGTCCCCGCTGCGTCTCTCCTCCTGGGAACAAGTGGGCCACGCTAGTGTTCAGAGCCTGAGGCTTAGCTGCCGGGAGGGACTTGACCTGCAACTGGACCTCACACGCCCCAGATCACTTTCAGAGGGGGAATTAAACCCCGATGAAGCTTCTGTTGGTTCTTCTCAGGGACTCGCGCCGACCCCGAAGAATTCTTTCTGTGTGAAAGCCCTGACTACCTGTGAGGTCGAGTCCAGGAATTAGTTTCTGATGAGCACCCCCCGCTTTGTGCGTGTCCAACTCAACTCCGAAATCCCATCTGTTAGTAACACTTTCTGCCTTAGCTCATCTTCCCTGGTTAAGGAGATGCCACAATATTAATCCATTTCAAGGGTTTTAGACAAACAGCCATAAATATTTAAGCCTCTGCTTTGCCTATTAGGGAAAATGCCAGCTAAGATAATTATTTTTGCCTCTGCCTGACAGAAAGATTTATACAGAGGACAGGATTATGTTAACCTCTGAGCAAATTAGAAACTTGGAAACTAGATGGTCTTCCGCTTCACCGCAATTATCCCTATGGCCAAAGACGCCACATTCCCGGACCCGTACGGGGAAAATGCTAGCAGGAGGAAAACAGCCTGAATTAACTGTTGCTGGAAAAACACCCGGAATTACCGATCGAGTTCCCAAGGTGGTGCAGCTTATCTTACAATGAAAGTCAACCCGAATCGAAACACGGATTTGGGTTTCCGTTCGCCTGAGTGTCATGTTGTCCACACTGTACAGTGTGTCCAGGGCCAGGTCCCGGTGGAGACCCTGTCCCAGTGGCACCCTGTTTGGTACAGGGAGTCTGTGAATGTGTGAGTCACTTAGGAGCAGGCCGTGGTTTAGTATAGCGGGCAGTACACGTATCTACGGGGGCCTGAGCCTGGCAGTGAAGCCTGGCTCTGGGTTTCTCAGTAACGTGGCCTTAGACCATTACTTACTGCCTTGGGCACCTCTTCTGAAGCATGCTGTGAGGACTATGAGGGGGGCTGCAGCAGAAGACTGCAAGAGGCCCACCATGCAGTGTGGCAAATGGGTCGAGTGAACAATAACCACGGCAGGACCACCTCGCCTGGTGCCAGACGATACTCCAAGTCACAAGACAGCAACCTTATGAGGTAGACATTATCATCCCCACTTTACAGGGGAGGAAACTGAGGCACGGGATGTTTAAGTAACCTGCCCAGGTGGTAGACGTGCACTCCAATATGACTAGAAGATTCTAGAAAGTGCTCAGATGAGAAAGCCAATCTCGAAAGGTATACCGTATGACTCCATCATAATGCCATTCTTGAAACGGCAAAGTTATAGGATGGAAAATACGTGAGTGGTTGCTGGGGGCCGGGGATGGGGCCGGGGGGGGAACCGCGGAGCGGGGAGGTGTGTGTGGCTCTAAAAGCCCACACACAGAAGGGATGGAACTGTACTGTTTGACAGTGGTGTAGGGGACGCGAATCTACACGTCTGATCAAGTGGCACAGAACTAAACAAACATACACACAAATGAGTACAAGGTAAAACAACAACAACAACAACAACAACAACCCAAAGTTACCAAGATACGTTAGAAGTGTGTCCAGGTGTCCTTGGAGGAGGGGGGTGGGAGTTTTTCAAATATAGTTACTTGGGACACCATCATGAGTGCGGCAGGACGGGCCGTGGCCCCTTCCCCAAAGGTGTGTGCATCTTAGTCCAGGAATCTGTGCATATGGTAATTTTATTGGGTAAAAGGGACTTGGCTGATGTGATTAAGGATCCTGGGACAGAGGGACAAGCCTGGGTTATTTGGGTGGGCCCCACGTAATCACAATGGTCTTCTGAGAGGGAGGCTGTGGGGTTGGGATCATAACAGACAGAAATGGTAATACCACGGACTGTAGCCACGCAGAGGATGGAAGAGGCAAAGCAACGGGACTCCCCCAGAGCTCCTGGAGGGAGTGCAGCCCTGCCGATAACTTGACTTTGACCCAGAGAGATGGATTTTGGACTTCTGACCCCAGAGCCATATGATAGTAAACTTGTATTGTTTTAATCCACTAAGTGCATGGTTATTTGTTGTAGCGACAGGAAACTGATACAATGAGGAACATTAGGGAAAAAAAAAAGAGACAACGAAGGTCCATTATTTGGAACATTTCATCCACGTGGGGTGCGGTCGTCCCTGGTGACGTCACGTGGCTGAAGTGTTACTGAACACAGGAAGCTATCTGTTTAATTGCAGAGACCGGGCTTAATGGAGATGAAGTTCAAACCACTTTTGTTCCTAAAAAACACTGCCTTCCCTGTCACCACACGTTTATAGCATCTGGTGGGTGTTAAATGGAGCAGGTACAGCTCATAATCACAGCCTGTTTAATACATGTCAGCCGGTAGAAGGCGTCAGAATAAATCCTGCATCAGGAAGTTGTATTTTTACTGTACGATCTCCCTACTCTTCATGTTTGAGAAATAGGACTATTTAAGCTCACGTTGTGCCTGGAGACAGTGATGTGTGAGTTCTTTGGGGGGCAACCCCCCCGAAGTTATGTATCAAGGTAACATGTCGCCTTTGGCCATGTCATTGAGAATTTAAATTTCTTTCTTTTTTTTTTTTTTTTAAAGATTTTATTTATTTATTTGACAGAGACACAGCAAGAGAGGGAACACAAGCAGGGGGAGTGGGAGAGGGAGAAGCAGGCTTCCCGTGGAGCAGGGAGCCCGATGTGGGGCTTGATCACAGGACCCTTGGATCATGATCTGAGCCGAAGGCAGATGCTTAACGACTAAGCCACCCAGGCGCCCCGAGAATTTAAGTTTCTAAGTAAATGTTCGAAGTCTGTGTTTCCACACTGGACAGATAACAAACAAAATAAGGAAGCTCTTAACAATGGGAAAAAAAAATTAAGCTTCCTTTTTGGAATACTGGCTACCACAGGGGGGTCTACCACGTACAAAACACCTGTATTTGGCATTTCTGTCCTCAGAGCAATTCTACGAGGAGGATATTATCATCTTCAACTTGCCACTGTGGACACGGGGGCAGAAAGGCTAAGTCACTTGCCCGAGTTCCCAGAGCCTGTGAAGAATAATCAGGAATGAAGGACACTTTGGTCTGACTCCTAAGCTCATGTCTCACCTACTACCTCTAAGACAAACACGTGGGGCAACAGGTTAAAAATATGCCACACGAGCTGCCAACAGCGAACACGAGAGCTCTCCAAAGAGGGAAGGTTGGGCTAACTTTGATTCTGTTACCTTCTATAAGCTGCTGGAGCTCAGCTGGGAGGAACCCGTTTCATCCACAGAGCTGTGTGTGGATAGGAAGTTGGCTACACAGTGATATAGGTTATAGGTAGACATAGGTATATATAACCCACCCAGTCACTGGCGTGCAGGAAGGCTCATAAGAAGACGAAAATTACCCAGACTCTGTCATAACAGGGGTGCCTGGGTGGCTCAGTCGGTTAAGTGTCCGACTCCTGATTTTGGCTTAGGTCATGATCTCAGGGCCGTGGGATCGAGTCCCAGGTCGGGCTCCACGTGGAGTCTGCTTGAGATCCTCTCCTTCTGCCCCTCCCCACTGGCTCCCTCACTTGCTCTCTCTCTCTCTAATAAATCTTTTTTTTTTTTTTTTTTTAAAGAATGTTATAACAAAGACGAAGCAGTCTGGCCACCGCTGTGATCACACATCTTGGAACCACTCTGCTTACAACCACACTGGAATGTTCTTCCTAGATTAAACACCATGATCAATTCCAGTGGGTCATTTAGGGCACTGATCACTCTGATTTTACTAAAAAGCTGTCATCGGAACCACCTTTTGATCCAGTTTTCCCATGCAGAGCGTTTTTACAAGCACTATCCGCCCCCGCTTCTCTGCCCAACAGTGTGGCTTAAATTGTTTTGATGATGACGGTGTAAGAAACGCATTCTACCACACACCTAGCTTACAGGTACACAAAACAAAGTTCCATGAAATGAGACATACTCTTACTATGCACTGAGCTCTCACAGTTGCTTTCTATTTTGCTCTATTTAGTTTAGCCTATTTTGTGGCCACTGACTTGGTGATTCGCTAATGATTCTATACCCCAGGGAGGGGGTTGTATTTGTGATTTGAAAGGTCTGGTCGAGAAACCAAGGAGAATCGGGGTCCCTACCTCTGGGGCAATGTAATCTGGCGTCCCACAGAAGGTCCTGGTTGTGACTCCATCCATCATGTGTTCCTTGCACATCCCAAAATCGGCAATCTTGATATGCCCTTCTGAATCCAGCATGACATTATCTAACTTCAGATCCCTGTAAGGAAGCAGGAGAGCATCAGCGTCCTTCCCACGACATCACACGGTCTGCTCTGGAGCTAGTGAGACAGAAAGATCTCTGACTAGCTGCCACCTCAATGGCGTATTAACTACGAGTCCTACGGGTAACTACTACGGTCCGGAGAACCGGAACCAGGAATGACTGGGTTTTGTTTTTGTTTCTGAAATCTCCAGAGCCTACTGTAGTGCCTAGGACACAGTAGGTACTTAATAAATGCACACCGAATAAATGACTAAATGGTTGGACTAGCAATCCCCCAACCTTGGCCAAGCATGTGAATTACCAGATTCCAATTTAGCAGGTTTGGGGCAGCTCCCAGCCATTTGATTTACTAGGATCCCACACAAGATGCCTGGCACACAACCAGGTTTGCCAAATCCCAGGTTCAGAACAACCTCGCCAGGTCACACACGTGTGGCCATTGCATTCTGCTTCGTGCCATGGGTCCTTTTACTCTTCAGTTAATCCTGGAAGACATTCTCCTTTCTTTGGCATCAGACTTTCACTGTCGCTAACCACCTGCAGAATTTAATTCACTAGTTTTTCCTCTGCCTCTCCCCAGCTCCCCATGTTCTTCTCCCGCTGAGCATCTATTAACAGAAATTCGGTTTCCACTGCTCCCTGACCTTCATTACAAAAAAAGGCAGAGGAAGGAACTGTCAGTGGAGAAAAAAGCATGTTTTCTTGTGGGAAGCAGAAATGAGATATACAAAATCTTTTGAGGTCCAGAGATCAGAAAGTGGCTCTGATTTGCCTGCAGGCTGCAGACAAAGGTAGGTCCTGGGAGGTCTCTTGTTACCTCGACGGTTCTCAACAACGTGTCTTAAGTCCCCATCACGGAATCAACACGCACACGGAGGTCCAGGGGTCCGGGAAAACTCCCAGATGCCCTGCTGGCTGCAGAGCCTCAACACACACCTGTAAATGATTCCTCTTTTATGAAGAAAGAACAATCCAATGGAAATCTCTGCTGCATAAAATCTGCAAAAGAAAACGCTCATCAGGCTTGCTGGCTTGCTCTCTGGATTTCTGAATATTTTGTACCCTCCAGCTCAGGCATCAAGGTGGCAAAAGAATGTAAGACCCTGGGATGATCAGAGATCAGCATCACCCTGCAGATGACAAACCTTCACCCTTCCCTTGGCCATTTTAGCACTTTTACCTCCCCGAGGAACTTCACAGCTAATAAGTCAGACAGACAGGTTTATTACCTGTCTAGAAACAAGCACTTCTTGTCTGGACAGTTAATTTACTGCTTACAGGAAATTTCCAATACGATCTCTTAAACGGTGGCTGCTAGAGTAGTCTGTGTCAGGACTGGGGAAGAGTGGGGAAAATGTCCATTTTCCTATTCATGGACAGAATGCATTAGTGTTTGAAAATGCAGTGATTCCCTGGAAGATGGAGGAGCATGTGTGATGTGCTCTGTAGCTGGTGTTCTCACCGCACCCCCCCAAGCGCTGGGGTAAATGAGACACACACCATGATTCATACTCGAGTTTACCCTTTTAAATAATTCATAATAACTCAGTAAATGCTGAAAGAGGTTTTAAAATGTGCATAGCATTTAGGAATCTTTGAAGTCTGAGAAACCACAAGACTGCGTCTGTGCAAACCTCACACCCGGGAGGCTTAAAATCCACACGGCGTCTACACAAGCAGAGAACAACCTCTGGTGATAAGGACCGAACTCTTACAGGGAGGGCTGGGGGGGGGCATCTCTGAGGGCCGGCAGGGGAGCAATGGGATGGGAGAGAGAAAAGCAATGGGATTACAGGCGACTTTTACATGATTTCTCATGCTCTTCTGTATTTTTAAAATAAGAACTTTCTAGCAACACAAGTACACAACATAAGGGTGCTGGATGAGACACCTTGATGTCACCTCATAATGTAAGGTGGCTGTTCTGCTACTTGCTCTTTACAGCTCTGGCACCAAGCTTTACTTTACAACCCGAGCATTTTGATGCTTTCTAACTAACAGAGTTAAGACGGGGGATAAAGACAGGCATTCCTGAAAGTTGAAAAGTAAAAATCTAAATAGAAAAAAAAATCATCCCCCTTCAACAACAAAAATCTGACTGGCGTTCGTGTCTTTGATTAATAAAGACATCTGAGAATGAAAAAAAAAGAACGAAAAAAATCCCCCTTTGCATTTTTTTTCAGCTTGCTACCACAGCATTCCCTCTTCTGCCTTCAGCCAATCTTCCCTAAGACGCATCAACCCACACAGGCCGAAAGTTCTTCAGATTTATCTTTCAGATCGAACATCGGCCAGGATCCAATGAACATTCGCTAACTTGATTAATCGGGGTACATGCCCACGATGCAACCTCCCCGAGGGAAATGAAATAGCTATTTGTATACATCTGCTTTTGCTATGTGTCCTGTGACTTCCGGGCCCCTGGAAAACAGGGTGAGTTTTCAGGTACCAAGGTCCCCCCTTTCATGGGCCATGTCTCTCCCGGCTGCTGCTGACTCCTGCATCCCAATCAAACCCTCCACACTGCTCATGATTCTCCCCCAAACCATCTCCTCCTTGGCGGCTGCCCATTCCCAAACCTAAAACGAGGTGTCACTCGGAGAGGTGGCCAGTGTCTCTGTTCTACACTGAGTTCCGCTTTTCTTCCTCCAGAACGTTTCTCAAAGACCCTTACTCCTCTTTGGCTCCAAGGTCAGGACCTGATGAAGGTTCCATTCTTTCTCCTCTATCTAGATTTTCACCAGCCCCCTTGCACCTGCCCCTACTCCGAGCTTCCCCCCTCGGTCGCGGGGGCTCTGTGAAAACTGAGCCTGATGGTGTGAAGCCACATTGAGGCACCGCCCACCCCCCGCCAAGCCTTCCATGGTCCTCAGCGGGCTCCATCAGGCTCATCACCCAGAGCCCCTGCACCCCCTTCTGCCCTGCTGGCTTGGGCATTCCCTGAGGATGTTCTTTCCCCACTCCCCTCTTTACCAGGGCTCGCGTGCCACCTCTAATGTTGTGGCCACACAGTACAATTGTTGGGTGACTTCTCCTACCCTGGGTCAAGTGGTGAGCTCCTGGAGGGCAGACAGCCTTTCCCACTCCCGGTGCCTGGTGTGTCTGGCGATTAAACGATTAAACACATAATCGTTTAATAACGAGTGGCTGACTCAATCCATGAGGATGGAATTGGGTGACAGGGGGATACACCAGCATCTCCAACTGACTGGAAGTATAATGAACCTCTCCTTCTGAAGTGTCGATGGACCCAAACCAAGAAGTCGGCCCCCTGGGAGGAGATGGTGCTCAGCTCCAAAGTGGGCAAAGCCCCACTTCCATATTTCACCCAGCAGCAGTCCCCACGTGCTGTCTAAATTAAGGGACTTAAAAAAAAAAAAATACTCACACTGCTTGTGGTTCCTTAAATTTTCCTACTTGCTGAATGTGGTACATGAGGTCCCCGCCATTGACGTATTCCATGACGAAATACAGCCGGTCCTGAAGATGAAGTTTCAACACGTGAGCAGGGCTTGGCCACCGGCCGAGAGTCTTCCTTCACTCTTTCTAAACTGTGTTTTGCTTTCTCATTAGTTAGTAAACCATGGGCTACCCTGGCAGATCTGCTCAGTGGAGCCCTGCAAAATTTTTCTTCCCCAATAAAAGTCATAAACCCTACTGCATGAGGGCCTTGGGAAGTATAAAGTCATTAACTGTCAACATGGTTGCCCCCTTCTGGTTCCGTATGTTCTCTACTGTAGTAACGGCCTTCTAACACTCTTCCCCTTTCTCCTGCGCACTTAAGACATGTCTAAGTTAGTGATGATGTGAAGAATCCAAATGGGCCAATTATTTACTTTTAACGAGTGTTGCTGGTTCGCAACATCTGGGAGGCAAACCCCAGTGATGTAGTCATGTGTTTCCACTGGAAGCTTCTGAAAACAAATCTTGTTAGGCTGGGCTCCTAAATTATAAATGCTCAGTGATATTTACTGTGGGGGAGGGGACTATACATGGAGAGGCTAATCCAATGTGCTTCTGCATCATAATAGGCCCAAGTATTGTTTTTTATTTTCTCTGTCACTGGTGTGCTCAATGTCAGCACCATGGAGGGCGTACATCATAGACCCCAGTAAAGCTGCATATTTACGAGGACATTACAGTGGGGTAAATGGGGGAAAATGGGGTTGAACAGCCAAGCAGCTCACGGCACAGCACACCCAGGTGAAAGCCAACCTCTGCTCACTTCTAGACAATGTCACCATTTCGCAGAAGTTATTAAACATTGAAGTGCTGCACGGGGAACGGAAGATAACAATGAAGTTGGTGCTAGCAGCCGGGAAACAGCTCCTGGAGCTTCCTTCTCTAGCCTTCCTGTGATGAATTTTAATTCCATCTTTATTTCCGTGTTTTGCTGCTCCCTGGAGCTTCATCCGTGTAACCAGGGTGATAGGATCCAGGCTGGGATTCGCAGACATGGCTCCCCACCTGGCACATTGCTCCTCCCTCCTGGGCACTATTTAGGTGCTGCTGGGAGAAGGGACCGGCCGTGCTGCCAGTGCCAGGCTGACACACAGTGGCCGGCGCCCGGCTCTGCAGCCCATGGCCCGCCCCGACACTGCGCGGTCATTCGGAGATTCTAAGCTCCAAGAGCATTGAGGGGGACCTCCCAAGAGATTTTTAAAGAGAGATGCAAGACAGAAAGTCATTTTCTGGCCAGTAGAAAGTTGAAAATAATTATAATCATAAGAGTAATAATTATAGCTACTGATTATTGAGTCACATCTTAAAAAGGGCAGGTGCTGAGGATGGAAAGCCTGTCTTTGGGTGTGCCCGACAATGGTGCCCTCGAAATGGTTGTATTTCTTGCGGGCCACCTGCAAGCTCCATGCCGGGGCCCTGGCCCCACAATGGGCTGATCAGTGCTTCGGAACTCTCTTGCCCTCTTTTTTGTTATACTATAAGACAGGGCTTGGCAAACTTTCTGTAAAGGGCTAGACAGCAAATACTTTAGGCTCTGGGTGTATCTTGCAACGATTCAACTCTGCCTGTGCCGCAGGAGAGCCACTGTGGAGGACTGGAAAATGAAGGAGCCTGGCTGTCTTCCAAGAAAATGATTCACGGACCCTGAAATGTGAATTTCATCGAATTTACACATGTCACAAAATATTATTCTCTTTTTCTCCTCCGACCTTCCTTAAGAGCTCATGGGCTGTACAAAACAGGCCAGACTGCCAAGCCTGCTGTGTGCAGTAAACAAGAACACACTCTTTTATGAGATCAAGTTTCCTCGGGTTCTAATGCAATGCTTAGCAACGGGACCCGTAGCCTTCAAAAGCCAGGACTATGGGTTATTTTATTGGTGTTGCTACCCCCCAAGTCTTAGCACATGGCCTTGTATAAGGAACGTACCTTTGTACGTTTGTACCTTATACAACGTACCTTTGGTACAAACGTTTGCTGAATTAAATAGAATTAGTGCCAAGCCTATAAGCAGGGCACATCCCAGAGAGGGGACTCCCCAAATTTACCAGCGGTATAAGAGTGAGAGGCTTTCTTGAGCCTTCTCCACTGGAGGAAGGTTGATTCAGATGCTTAGAACACTGGCTTCGGGAGTGGCCCTTGAGAGCACGCCGTGTTTGGCACCACAGATAGGCACCCCCGGGGGCCTTACCACTGTCTGAAAGCAGGAGTGTAGCTGTGTCAGGAACGGGGGCTTGTCCAACAGGGCTAGGACTCGCTTCTCCACCATGGTGCACTCCACGTCATCATCTTGAATCACCACGTCCTTCTTCAGGATTTTGATAGCATACAGTTCCTCTGTGCCCTTCCGGTCAGCAAGCATCACCTGGGAGCAGACGAAAGGCAATCTGAAAGCTTCAGAAGCGTACTCTGGTACTGGGGGTCGGGTGGGGGAACCCGGTCAGGTGGCCGTTCAGTTGGCCTACACTATATATTCATAAAGTTCCGCTTCATGTGCAAATTTTGAAATCTCGCACATCAGCGCAGATTACCTTCCTCCAGCACGGTGTAATTTAGAAGCTGTCGAGATTTGTACGCTGCGCGGGCTATAGCCACATGATGGCGCTATGGTGGACACGGGAAGGAATATACACGTCCTCGGTATTAGCCTTGAAGTGTGCACATTTTTCAGGAGCATCCTTTGGGCAAAAATGTGACTGGCCTTTATAAACTCACGAGTCGGGAGCCAAGACAAAGAAAGAGGCGGGATTGGAAATCATTTCCTGGGTCTACCGTAAGATCTGGGGCCACAGAAGCCAAATGCAGACAAATAGGTTCTACAAATCAACTTTTAATTTTTAGTTGTGAAAATTATTGATTCAACCAACATTCTGGAGCACCTGCTCTGTTCTCAACCAGGAAATGGGGACACACAGTGAAACCTCTGTAGCTTTCTGGATACAATTGTTTTTAATGAAATGAGGTGGTGGGTGGGGCGCGGGGGAATATCTGAGAAAGGAGTACAGAGAACAGGGAGATCCCAAGGGGGGCTCTGGAAACCTCAGGGAGCACAGGACCCATCCTGGCAGTCTCTGCAAAAGCCCCTCCGCCTCACAGACAACCGTGCCCTTACCTTTCCAAAACTCCCTTTCCCCAGCACCATGAGGAAATTGAAGTCGGTGAGTTTCACTCTGTCCAGGTTGTTGGAAGGTTGTCTCCTGTCTTCTGAAGGACTGATTACTTTGTTACCAGCAGGGCCAAGCTTGGCTTTCTAAACAACAAGCACACAGGTGAAATCGATGGGTCATTTTTCCCAGGAAAAAGAGTGATGGAAAGCATTTAACTAAGCTTGAGGGCAGCTGGGGGGTGGGAGGTGGGATGAGGGCAAGAAATCACAGAGTGATGAAATATTTATTCAAAAGTCAGTGGCTATATTTACCCTAAGGGCAATATTTGCAAAGTAGCAAAAAAAAAAAAAAATTGCCCTTACCTATCAAGAGACAACTCTTTGCATAGTTAACCAAGTCAGGCTGATTTTCATTCTAGGACTTAGAAGTTAACTTCTTGGGGAAAACGGTGTTTCACAATGGTTAACATAATACAAGAAATAAACCGTGCACCGATGCTTTTTTAATCCGTAGATTTTCCAATTTGATTCATCTGCCTAAAGGAAACTTGGATCCTAGCAAAAAGGGGTTCCCTGGGGAGGAAACTTTTGACCGGCAAGCTCAGGGATGATTTATTGCCACTTTAAAAGGCATAGTAAGAACATAGGGTCTTGTTTTTTTTTAAGTTAAGAGTTGAACTCAGGAAAATGGTGATATGCATGAGAACCTGGGTTCACACAAAATACACAGCAGCACCCTTTGAACCTGAAGCATCCCTGGTCAGTGACCTGTCAGTTACCAGAAGGCATTTTTATAAACCAGGCTCATGCTACACACTGGTGCTGGAGAAACTACACCCTCATTACTCTGATTGAAGAGTTAGAGTCTCGGGTCCCAAAGGTGGAGGAGAGCAAGGAGGCTCAGCCGAAAAGGAAAGGCTAATGGGATCACGTGGGAAGGTCTCAAAGGTCAGCAAAGGAGCCCAGGAAGAATCTCCCCCCAGACTCTGCATGGAGAACATCTGCCTGACTGTGAGGGCTCCAGTTGCTGGACATATCAGCTGCTGAAAAGGCCAGGGTCCTGCAGTGTGGCTCAACTGCCACAACCACAGCCCTGAGCCCGACGGCAAAGACTGTGGCATTGGATACGTTCTGAATGATAAGGTGCACCCCCCGCCCTTCCGCAATGCAGCAGACCTAAGTGCAGCTTTGAGTTTCGGAGCAGGTGCCAGGACAACACTCAAGTCAATGTGGTTACCAAAAAGGTGTGTAGGACGTAAAGAAGGCATCCTGGGCTTTACTACGTGACCAGAGCACTCTCTTGGGGGAAGATGGGGGATGTGACATGTTTTCTTTAGCAGCAGAGGCAGCTTTTGAGGAGTCACCCATACTCCCTTACAGCAACAGTGTCCCTTTATCCCCACCTTGTGTCAGGCTCTGTGGAAGAGGTTTTGCATTATGGGATCCAGCCGTCTCTGGATCCCCAGGCCTCACACAGTGCTTGGCACAGGGCGTGCGCTCTACGTTCTGGCTGAATAAGGAAATGAAGCTTGAATGTGATCATCAGATGCTGTGCTGTTAGGTGATACTTTTCTGTGGCAAAAATAACATGTTTCAGTAAGGATCAAACCTCATGGCCTGAGTACGTGCTCGGAGGTAAGCATAGCCATGTAGGCAGAGACATTAAGACATGGGGGAAAGACCGCCCTCACTTTTTTGCTTCCAGGCTGAAAGTATTTAATACAGCTGTCCTATATACCTCTATTGGCAGTGCCCGGTGGGACACACACATGAACCTGGGGGTCACTGGATACACCGACACTCTTTAAAGACAAAAACCTGAACTTCAGTGATACATAAATTGGCCTCCCCTTTGACAGAGGATGGAAGGAATGTCTAGACAAACTTGTGAGAAAGAGCCAAGATATAACCACTAGTGTTACTTCAGGACCCCCCCTCAACTGCAGGACCAGCCCCGTCCTCTGGAAGCCAGGAAGCAGGAATGCAGGAGCACCTGGCTACGGGGTCCCAAACAGACCAGGTTCGACCACTCGCCGCTGACAAAGTCCAAAGGCAGACAAACGATGGCTGGTGAAATGAGAAAGTAATTTATTTCAGGGAGGCCAGCGCCAGGAAGACAGTGGACTAGTGTCTCAGAGACTGTCTCCAAAGGGCTGAAAGCACTCCCAGGATTATGTAAGGAGAATGTTGGGCAGAGGCCAGTGGGTACATGCATGCAGCTGGGCAGTGAAGGTCAAGTTGATTGCTGTCTTGGGGTCAGTCATGCGGGGTCTTGCTGGCTCGGGGCATTCCTTATTGCCGGAGAGGGTAGTTTCGGTCCCCATCACGGGACGCCCTGCCCGAGTTAAGGGAGAAGATGGAAAGGAGAACTTAATCAATTAGAAGGTAGAGACTGGAATCAAAACGGAGGTGGCGGATAGCGGAAGTCCTCTTTCACGCCAAACATATGTCCCAGGAATGATTCCAAGTTGATAAACTTTCGGGTGTATGTCGTCAAAATTGCAATGAACAATCAGGAAGTTCAAGTGTGAGATGAGAATACCCACGATGCCACTTTATTCTGTTCTTTTGATTTTTAAAAAGAAACGTTATCAGAAAAAGGCACAAGGAGATTGATTTTGTTTTGTCGGGAACTTCACAGTAAATTCTGAAAAGATGGACTCAGTGCTCTGAGGGGCTTGAAACAGTCAAAGAGCATCTTCATCTGGGTGAGGCTGTGATCGGGCTGGGGCTGCCCATGAACACCCAGCTTCCATCTAAAGCTTGGGGCTCCTAACCAGAGGTTCCAGACTTGTGAATTCCTAGAGTCCCGGCTCCTTCCTCCTTTGACACTTCAGCACCACAGACAGCAGCCCACGGAGTGACCTCCGGACAGACACTGCCCTCATTGGGGGCCATACCGAGCAAAGACTCCGAGTTTTGTGCTGTTCCTTAGTCCAGTTACAGGGAAAAGATTGTCCCCAAAGGGATGTAAATGCAAGAAAAGCATTTTTGCATTTGAGTACTTCTGAATCCGACTGCAGTAGAATCTTAAGATTCCGCTCTGAAATCAATCCGTGAAGTTTGGGCGGAATGTCGACAGAGGAGTCTCCTGCTCCGGGGAGGGGAAGCTGGAGGGAGGGAGGAAGGACACCGGCTTCTTGCCCTGCCCCGGGCAGATTCCATTCTCATGCCTCTGGAGCCAGAAGCAGAGTTGGGTTCCATGTGGCTGGCAGAGCAGGGGGATGGTTTGGAAGGAGACAGGCCAGGCTGCTACACTGACCTCATTCTCTATCAGGGGGCAGGCTAGAAAGCAGCCTGGCCCAGGGGACGAGATGGAGTTCTCCCCAGCTCCTGGCAGCCCTGAGATAGGAGCAGCCTGGGGGGCTTCGTGCAGCTAGCCTTCTGACACATGGCTTCCACATTTCCCCTCCACAATATGCTTCTGGAGTCATTCCCACGCTGCCACTGCAGGCCCGGCTGCCGGATGGCATGGAGCCATCGCCAATATGGAGTTTGCAAAAGCAGCTCTTCCATGATAGCAAAACCTCAGTGGTCCGGGCCTGACTCTGGCAAGTCCCTCGCTCACCCTGGGTCTAATCAATAGCACAGCTGGAGGAGACAGCCAGTGGCTATCCTAGCAGCTGTGCAGCTGGGGGTGGCGGGGAGCAAACGACCTCCAGGAGGGTGCTCTACACAGCCTCCACCTCCAGTCTGCATTCAGGCAGCCTCTGCCTCCTGATTCTCATCCTTTGCCCCTCCCCCCTGCCTCCCCCTCCCCCCATGCTGTGGGAGTGCAGTCCCCCACCCCCTCCCGGGCTGACTTCTCCCTGTCTGCAGGCTTTAGCTTGCTTGCCATCTCTCCAGAGGACTCCTCCCCAAATACTGGCTGCCATTCTCCCCTCCACGGCCCTGCTCTCAAGAGCGCATAGGGCAACTTGTGAATATTTATGGTGTATCTGTTTAATGCCTCTTCCGATCACACTGTACAGCCAATCCATCAACGGGTCGTGCCAAATCTACCTGCAGGTTAGGTCCAGACTCTGGCCTCTTCTCTGGGGCTCCTTTACCACCTCTCTGTCAAGGTGGCCCCACCTCTAGTGTCCCCAACTCCTGTGACCTCCCTTTCAGTATATTCCCTGGAGGGACCCTGTCATGCTTCCCTGGCTTCCTATCTGCTGGACGGAAAAAGGCCGAGTTGTCACAAAGGATGAGGAAGAGACCTTTGGCTGTCAGTTCTGTCTCCGACCTTGGTCCCACGACTCCCCCAGCCACTCCATTCCAGCCTCCAGTCTTTGGTCGCTCTTCCCCTGGGGCCTTGCTATCTTGCTCATCCACCAAATCCAGCTTAAGAACCACCCTCATCTTCCTGATGCCTCCTTCCTCCTGGGATTTCCAACCTGTGGCAGACATTGTCTATGACCCGCCCACATCCCCTGAGCTTTTGGCTCTGCACCCCTGTGCACATCGGAGGCTGTCCGCGGGTTCTGTTGGGGCCGCGCCTGCAGAGCAAGCCTGAAATGCCCATGTTGCTGCCCCAGGAAGTCGTGGCCTCGACTGGCCGCACAAGAAAGCGGGTTGCATGCCATCTCCCTAGCTCCCCAGCAGGACTGAGCTCCAGTGTATCCAGCATCGGTACCATCTGGAGAACTACCATGCCCTGATCTTGGCTGGCTTCCTCCCTTCCCTGGGTCACATCCCTGCTCCTCCCCTCCCCACCCCCCACCCCGCCCAGGTCTTCGGGGATCACTTCGCGAATGAACTCCTTGCTCTCAAAACCCTGTGGCAGAGTTGATTGATCTGGGGAACGTAAACGAACAGATGAACATTTTCTGAGGATTTGCTGATCTTTCTTATTAGACCGTGAGGTCCTGGAAGGCAGAATAAGATGGTCCTTACTTTGTGTCTTTAGGTCAAGCACTGTGCTGGGTACATAACTGCACATTCACTGAATATCTCATTGATTGATTCATTCATTCAAAATCATATGTCTTCATTAAGTCCTACAACAGAATTTGAAGAGGCCAAATCATGAATGGTACAGTCAGCTGGTAGCTAATACCAGCCAGCCATCTGCCCAACGTTAATACAGAAAAGTGGCTGTTACCAGGTATGTCGTTTCAGAGGGTGGCCCCTGGACACTGTGCATCTGGATGTTCAAATAT